CCATGGAGTATCTAAAAGAACAAAGATTTCGTCTGGTGACCTATGGTGACAGATCTTTTTACGTTGCTGGCCCTAAACTGTGGAATGACCCACTTCAAATTAGGAAAAGTTCTTTAATCCAATTATTTAAAAATGAACTGAAAACTCATTTGTTCAAGAACTTTGTCTCCTCTGGTTCGAAGTGAACATCAATGAACTATGACATTTCATTAATATTGTAACATACGTCTGGTATTTATTTTATTTCTTATTGTAAAGCGCCATGAATTTTGATATGTGCGCTATATAAGTTCCATTATTATTAATTATTATTATTATTCACTTCGCCTTCGGCGAATAATTGTTAAATTTTCGGAAGAATTGACCGTCCGTTTTCATGTAGAGGTTGTGTTTATCAATCTCACTGTGAACCTTCGTTCACGGTTTTCATTTGATGAAGGTTTATTAAAATCGCTCCAAAATCAAAACTCTTTCATTCGAGCGGGAATTTTGCTTAATTGTATGACGTCACAGCGTACAACCGCTGTACATGATAACTCTTTGGCCGTGAGTCAACAAATTAATGGCGGACGAAAATAAATCGTAAAATTTTGGCCCTTTCCTTTCGAATATCAGAAAGATATTTCAGTTAGTGGTTATGATGATAATAATAATAATAACAATAATAAATTCATTTGCAAAGCGCAAATTCAACATACGTTTTCAAATGAGCTACTAAAACCGGTATTATATAAAAACTTATAGCCTATAAAATTAAACATATATCTATTAAAAATGTAAGACTACTAAAAGAAAATTGTGAAAACAATAATAAAGAATGATAGCATTTAAATAGAAAATCCTATTTAACCTACTTGATGTTAAAACCTACTCTAGGCTGATAAAAATGAATAAATAAATAAATAAATAAATAATGTATTGCATGGTAAGCATATAATTCCGAAATTCAAGCATAAGCAAAAGCAAATAAATAATTGTTTTTAGTTCCTTTCTGAACTTGTTAATTGAGTCAAGATCTCTTAGTTTGCAACGTAGTGATTTCCTCCCAGAGGTGAGAAAGTCTTAATTGTTGGGTGTTGTAATAGTAATTAGAAATTGTATAATTTTCGTCCAAGTTCCCATTTAATCGGACGATACATATTTACCTTATTTTTCAACAATTCAAATAGTTTAGCACCTCATAGTGTAGTACAAAACGCGCCCTACGTTGGTCCTCAGTTGTCTGTGATTTCAAAACTATGCTCTTGTAGTCAGATTTTTGACGATGTGTCATTAGAACTGTCACTGTGTGCACTGAGTGTATGATTCGTAATAAGGCTATCTAACCCGTCTCGCTGTAAACAATAATAGGCGTTTCATACCTAAACTACCACAATCCTTTTCATACACAAATGTTAAATCTCATTTAGGAATACCAAGACAATAGTAAAAAAGTTCTCATAATATAGTAAAGTAAATCCGCGCGATCTGATTGGTTGAAAAGCATGAACCATTTGCCCATGGGTTGCACGCTCACGTCAGCTTTTTTTGCTTCGGCGAAAAAAAAAACAAACTTTTATGTATCTTTTTGCTGGCAATTTATCTAGAAAAGATAACTGAAAMTGACTGAAAAAACTWGCGAAARTRCTCATCAATCTCCKRCATTTAGTATAGARTTGTCATTTGATCAGCCTAGTAATAAAACGTCAAGATTTGCATCCACTTTCAAACAGTGAGCTGGACAAGATTGTGTCAGATCGTCACTCCAAAAAGACAAATTGGACGGTGTCTACATTCAAAGGTTTGTAGCAATGATTTAACAAATACAAAAATATTGTTATCGTGTATTTATTCAACAAGCATTTTCAAAAGTAATTAACTATAAATATTATAAATTCACGCTCACCATCTACTTCGCAGCTTCACAACAGCAGTTAAGTCATTTAAGGTGGAACCAAACTAATTCAGATCGAACTTTGGGCAATTTTATTTGCTCCCTTCGCAAAACTATTACGTCAATTTAACTG